ACTATGAGGCTACTCGAAACAAAAGACATATGTGATTACTCTTGGTTACATCAATCACTTAAAGTAAAAGGTCTCGCTTTTGATAAATTGACATGTCATTATTTGTTTTTTGGACTCTGTGAGTCAAGTCCGCTGATCTTGGAGTTAAATTGATGATAATTATGATCCTCTCGGAGAAAATCAGCAGATAAGTTTACACTCAACATGATTATCAGTAAATATAATGAAAGAGGTAAGATCAAGAAGGCACCTGATCTATTACTCTAACAATTACCTTTTATATCTGTCCGAAGTGTTCTAAGTAGCTTTGTATGTACTATGTAAGCATTCCATTTGTTAGCAAATGTCTCAAATCCATAAAGTAGTCCCTTTTTTCCCTTGATCATTCATGGATTTGAGGTTGTTCATCATTTGCACAAATGAATATAAAAGGGGGATTAACAGATGAAATTCAAATCTCGAAGATTTGAAGGCAAAGGCTTCCTTGGTATCTTTTCTAAGCTCTACTGCACATGCATCAAAGCATTTTCATTCATGTGCTTTGAGCTGGCTTGGTTGGCCTCGAATTGTATTGTTGAGGGATAGGTTGATTCGATCGTTGTTGAACTTGTTAGTGATCTGGGGAGATCTATGAGTTGCTTTTCGGTGCTGTGAGACGTTATGATTTGTTGGTTATGGGTACATGTGGTGCGGTTCTATTGGGGATTCATAGTGAAAGTCGAGTGGGAAGAGTAATTGGGTGTTGCTCGGTAAATGGAGTATTGGTTATGACCTATCGGGTTGCGTGTCGTATGTTATTTGTTTCACCGTGGGTGTAATGAATTGCTTTGGTTTCAGACATCAAATGGTGCGTGGCTGTCGATTTTGGGCATAGTGACTTGAGGTGTTTCATGTGTAACAGTGTTTGGATAGGATGGCGCATTGTAGCGAGGCCACGTGGAGATATGACCTTTCGGGGTAGATTCAGGTGTTCTATTTCTATGATGTGAGGTGGAGTCTCAGCCTTGTGTTGTAATGGTACTGATGAGCTTGAGGTACAGCTCTTTCGTTTGAGTCATTTTTTTTCATGATTTGAGTATATTCAAATCGTTTCTTATTGGTGCGCATATTATGCAAGTTGTGGCTTAGGCTTGTATTGAGGTGTCATATCACCAGAGTGGTGTGTTGGATTTGAGGTGATCGTTAGGGTCACTAATGAATACGAACGGATTTGATTTCAGCTTGTTGGACGGATAATATCGAGTTCGGCTCGGAATCTGCTGTGGTATTAGTCAAAGGGAAGTGGCTTCATGAATGGTTGATCTGAGAAATGGTTACGGTTTATTGCGTGTTTCATTTATCGTTGGTAGTATATGAAAGTGTTGGAATAAGACCTTAGTTGATAAGAGGTTTTCTACAGGTATTCGGGTGTTGTGGGGAACTGCTGTGAATAGAAGTTATCGCTTCGTGTGTTTGGGTTATGTAAAATATCATATGATTGCACCTGAGGTTGCAGGTATGGGTTATTACAGCTAGTTCGGGCTTATTCTGAGTATAGATGTGAGGTTCTGATCTTGTGTGTGATTTCGGAAAGTGCAATGTGGTTCTATGTTTTATGGACTAGATGGATTGTGGAAATTTCAGTTATGTTGTGTTATCGGACCTATGCGAGATAGGGTGACGTGGGATCACCCCCGGATATATGCTTGGTAAGGTCATTCAGTTATTGGTTGGCTTCTAGGACAACTTTGGGTACGCTCGAGGACGAGCGTTTGTTTAAGTTGGGGAGGATGTGACGACCCGACCCGTCGTCTCAGGAGTTAGCGCTTTTACTCAGAGTTGAGTCTTAAATGATATTTTTGAATAATAATTTGGGCTGAGAACTACTGTTTTACTAATACCCGAGGGACTTGTGATGATATTCTGACTGAGTGTGGCCGAGGGCCAGAAGTGAGGATACACTGAGTGATATGAGGTCGAGGGCCTGGATGTGAAAGTTATATATGGATCGGGCTGCACGCTGCAGCGATATATGGATCGGGCTGCACGCCGCATCGGTATATATATAGCGCAGTGATATAGCGCTTGGGCTGTAGGAGCCCCTCCGGAGTCTGCACCCCCACAGTGAGCGCGGGTACCCATATGGATCGGGCTGCACGCCGCAGCGAGCTATGGATCGGGCTGCACGCCGCAGCGATATGTGGATCGGGCTGCACGCCGCAGTAATATGTGGATCGGGCTGCACGCCGCAGCGGTTACTATATGATACTGTTCTGAGACTGATCTGAGAGAGGGAGCCCGAGGGGCTGGTATAGTTTGAGATATTGCCCGAGGGGCGAACTTTTATGTGCTCATCTTGCATACTTATTTGCTTTTTTACCTGTTATACTATGGTATTTGTGCCCGAGGGGCGGATTTTCTGTGCTTATCAGCACTAACTATTTTGAAATCATTTTCGTAATTATTGAAAAGATCATTTTGAAAAGAGATTTGAACTGAGCCAAGGTATTTCTAAAGATTTCACAGATTTCACTGTTTTCTCAGAAAATTGTACTCGGCTTCTATACAACATGTTGGTTGCTTTACGTGATTTTTTGCTGCTCAGTTATTATTTACTTTTATTACTCACTAAGTTGGAGTATTCACTTTACTCCCTGCACCTCGCGTGCAGATGCAGGTATTTGTTCACCCGGCAGCGGGTTTTGAGCTGGTTGAAGATTTTGCTATCGTGCTGAGTAAGGTGACCGCCAGCGTTCGCGGCACCAGATTTCTTCCTTTGATTCTAAATTTATTCTGTATATTACTGGCCTTGTAGTTGTATTTAGACTCCTCTAGATGCTCGTGACTTGTGACACCCCGGTTTGGGCCGTGTTTGGTTGTACTTCCGCCAAGTAATATTATTGAATCATCTTTAAAATTGTTCATCCATGTTATCATTTCTTTTTGAAAAAGGCAAAAAGGGTTGGTTGGCTGGCCTTGTCTTCACGAGAGGCGCCATCACGACCGGAGCGGGGTTTGGGTCGTGACAGATAGTTCTTAGTCCCTAACTAGAAGATATTCCGTACATCCCAAAAGAAAAAGAATTACTTTGATCTTTATGGTTGGAGGTGCTTGGTATGTATTTTAGAGTGGAAGTGGATAAACTTTATACCTTTGTCACTTTTGTCAATCGAGAACTTTATACCTTGAATAGTACTCATAAACTTTTTGTGTTGTGTAAAGGCTCATTTAAGTTTATTAACCATCCAATAGGGTCATGAGTTCAGACTGTATTTCTTTATTATTAAGAGATCTTCCCTTCCACAGCAGATTAAGAGGTGAAACAAACCCAACATGGTGCTAATGTGAATACAATGATCAGGATCTGTAAGGGCTTGTCTGTTCGCATATCTATTTTTTTTCCTTTTTCATGTTGGATTAAAGAGCCTCTAACAATATCTTTATTGTATTTGATCGTGCAGGTATGTCTTATTTTAGAAGCTACCTCACTGATAAAGTAATATGATGGTTAATATAAGATAGTAGCATAACAGTTGAAACTTGCTGATAGGTTTATTTCTTTTTAAGTAATACTAGTATACGTACCCGTGCGATGCGCGGATTGTTTCAAAGGAAAAAATGATATAGTAAAAACAGGTCTCTAATGTAAAGTAAATTTAGCGATCACATCCAAAATAATTAAATCAAAAAACAAATATATGAATTTCATTGGATTGCAACTATAATAGGGGCCAGCAATGTTTATGCACAAAAGCATGATTAGCAGAGAAGGTTGGGTAACTGTAATAAGCCAAAAAGGTAAAGTAGATTTCCCAAAATTCGCTTCCGGTTCATATATTAAAAAAACAAAGAACAGTCATACATGTGTGTAATTCACAGTAATTAAGACATCACCTTTTGTTGTGGTGTACTTTGGATCACAAGTATATGAGAAAAATAAGCAAGTCAGTCATGTTGGTTGATGATATAACGACAGACTCACATGGATAACTAAGATGTAGGAAATATCCATTTCTTGTTGGCATAATCTATATAACAGTTCAAGTGTTAGATGAAATGCATACATTAAAAGGAGCAGATTCAGCAAATGAAAATGAAATAAGGATATCCAAATTATGAAACAATGAGGAATTCAGATACCAGATTCAGTGCAACTATGTAAAGTGCATCTGCTCTAGCAACAATCTCCAGTATCTCGCCAGTGATCCTCGCATGCCTTTCCCGGTTATAAGCAATCGAAAGGTTCCTCTTTAAGTCAACTGCATTATCCGTGGCATTACTCATTGCATTCATCCTAGCAGCAAACTCACTGGCAAATGACTCTTGAAGTGCCCTAAAAATCTGGCTTACTCAAATAGAGTGGCATCAAAGCATCAAAAATCTGAGCGGGATCTTGCTAAAAGTCTAATTAACACAACTAACTTCCCCTTTTAACCCTCAAATGATCCCTCTCAACAATCATTTTCCCCTCGTTAGTAGTCAACCTAAGAACTCATCTTCATCTACATCAACTCTTTTCCCATTAACATCAAGAACCTCTCATTTTGACGAAATTGGAAGCAACGTATGTATTACTGGATCTGATTTAATGAATGAAACAAATATAGTATACAATGCAGCTCCTGCTTCTTGCGCAATTCTTCCTTCAAAAGTTCTAAACTCTCCACCTTTTTTTGCACAGCTGGTGCAGCTTTGGGAACATTATGAGCCACAGGCTTAGGTAGACTAGAAGAAGGTAACAGAACAACAGGACCATGTTCAGCAGCTTTTGAGGCTAAGGACTGGATATTGTCTTTTCCTTTATAAGGAAAAGATAGGTGGGGTTGATCCACACTGGATGTTAATGATGGAGTATACTGGAGTAATGCTACATAAGTATTTGGCTTTAAAAAGGATTAGTCCACCTGAAAAACCAGAAATTTATCTTTAGTTATTATTAGGAAAAATAAAAGAGCAGTCATACAAATGGGTAATTCACATTAATTAAGACATCACATTTTGTTGTATTGTATTTTGGATCATAATTGTATAAGAACATGAGCAAGGTTCCGAACCAGTATATGAGAACATGAGGAAGTGAATAGGCAACTTCATGGAGAAAAAATTAGACTACATAGTTAGCTGGTCAGAAGCAAACCTTAGACACTAGACTATATTCTCTTGGAATCGATCTCTGACCATCCTAAATGTCTTTGTAAAAATATTATTGTCATCAAGCATTTGTTTCAGATCAGAAACAACTTCAGCATGAAGTTTATTAATATCTTGGCCACGACTGAAAAAATATATGAAATCAATAAAGGTTTTTAAATTAATTGTTATTTTTATAGTATTATATAATAAAGGTATAGGGCTAACCTCATAGCCTTGATTCTATTTGTAACTTCATTCTCTATATCATATATATATATATATATATATATATATATATATNCCTCCCCCGGCCTCTACCTCGGCCTCTAGCAATGGGGGGAGCAGCTCCTCCCGGGTCCGGAACGTCGGCGGTACGAGTCCTCACCATCTGTGAGAGAATAGAAGAGGAAACTTCGAACACTGACCACTGCACGATGGAGAATGAATAAAGAGTAGTCTTTCCTAACACCCTATAGCCCCTCGAAGATAAATACAGACGTCTCCGTACCGATCTACAAGACTTTATTAGGTTTGCCCGTAACTTGTGAGACCTACATGAACCTAGCGCTCTGATACCATGTTGTCACGACCCATTTTTTCATAATAGGTCATGATGGCGCCTAACACCACGGTCAGGCCAGCCGAATGCGAAAGTGTGATTAAGTTCTCATTTTACTTTAGCCAAAGACAGTGATACTAGAATTTTCAAATTTAAAGATTAAACTAGTAAAGATCATAAAGTGCTAAAATAGCGATACAACCCCCAAAATGAATGTCTACTACAGTGTGTGCCAGGACCTGGTGTCACAAGCTACGGGCGACCAGTAGAATATACACAAAAGAATGAAACACTATCCTACTGTCTGAATCAGGATAGACAGAAATCAAAAATACAAGAAAGGACTCCTTCGGCTGCGGATCGGCATGAGAGAGAAGGCAGCTCACCGTAGAAGTCCCTAAGCATGCTCACTGATGCGCACCGGGATGATGTCCAGATCCACCTGCCTCAAATCCTGTACAATTAAGTACAGAAGTGTAGCATGAGTACAAAAACCACATGTACTCAGTAAGTATCCCGTCTAATCTCGAAGAAGTAGAGACGAGAGGTCGACTTGATACTTACTAAGGTCAAGATAATATAATATAATAAAGTGAGATATGCAACACGAAGGATCTCCAATAACACACGTTTAATAGAAGAGTCATATTCATGTTCTTGTCATAATTAAATTACCAGTTTTCCCTTTTTCACATCAAATAGTGATCATGTCATAACTAAATGTAAGCATATAAATCATGCACAAACATGCCGAGGTCGACGGCCCGCTCCAACAGAAAATAAATTGTGCAATGCCGAGGGTCGAGCGGCACGAACCATAGATGCATCTATTATCACCTAGGCGATCGTCCCGATCCATAATCATCAAGAAAATATCAAGAAAAGCACATAAGGCTCAATTACATACAAGGGAATTCCTACCAAGGCTCAACAAACTCATACGTTCACCTTTCATTTCCTCAAGTCTCTAGCAAATCAAAATGATCATATTGGCAATTTAAAATAAGAGATATTCCCCAATTAGACATGACGTGGCTAAACTACCCGAACAATTATCATATAGTAGCTACGCACGGACTCTCGTCACCTAGTACGTACGTAGCCCCCGCATTAGCAACAATTACTCATTTAAAATTCTATGGGGACAATTCCCTCTTACAAGGTTAGAAAGGAGACTCACCTCACTCCAAAGTGCACTCCCAATATCCAAGAACGAGCCCAAGTTCTTAATTCGAAGCCGGACAATCCCAAACTAATCAAACGAAGTAAGAACTAGTAAATAAAGGCTTACAAGGTTGAATTCTTGCTATTTAAGCAATTTCCTAATCATTAACACAAGTTTCCTAAATTCCGACCTCGGGCCCACGTGCCTGGATTCCGAGATTTTTCGAAGGAAGTTGTTCTATATCACCTAAGGATCACAAATATATGATTTCTAGTTTACTACATGGCAAATTATGTTATAAAACCTTAGTTTTCATTAAACCCTAGGTCTAGCTCAAATCCCTTGATTTTACCTAATTTTTAGTGTTAAATCTACCTAATGTTTATGTATTTGAACTAAAATGAGTGCGGATTACTTACCTTGCAATGTTATGTTGAAACCTCCTCTTTGGAATCACCAAAATCGCCTAAGTGTTGAGAGTAATGTGGAAGAAATGAGTTTGGGTTCGTATTAATGAACCCTTCTGCCCCCAGTGATTTCCGCTTCTGCGGAAGGAATCCCGCTTCTGCGGGTTCCGCTTCTGCGGACATGAGCCGCTTTTGCGGAAATGGGCAAGGGGGCCTGGGCCGCTTCTGCGGTCATAACCTTGCTTCTACGAGGCCGCTTAAGCGGAAAGCCCACCGCTTCTGCGGTTCTGGGCCTGGGCGGATGGACCGCTTCTGCGGTCAGGGGTCCGCTCCTGTAGTTTCCCCTTCGCCTGGCCCCTTCCGCTTCTACGATAAAACGACCGCTTTTGCGGTCCAAGAGCCGCATAAGCGGTTATGATAGAAGCAGCAGATAAGGTTTTTCCTGAGTTTTCAACTTCACTCGAACCTCGACCATTTGACGCTCGGGGCTCCCGAGCCCCGCCCGAACATACCGATAAGTCTGAAATCACGAGGCGGACCTACTCGAGCCTCGAAACGCTTAAAACAACGCTAAATCAGGGAATCAACCCCAAAATGAAATGATTCAAATCATTGAACCTTCAAGTTCTAAATTTCCTCCTAACGGGTCAAAACGCCCTTAAACCACTCGGATTGACACCAAATTTTACAGGTAAGTCTTAACTGATATTTCGGACTTGTACCAAGTTTCGAAATCGAAATTCGAACCCGATACCTAGGAAAACAATAATTTCTTGGTTTATTTAAATCTTAGAAACTTAAACTTAACAATTTCATATAAAAATTCATTACTCGGGCTAGGGACCTCGGAATTCGATTCCGGGCATACGCCCAGGTCCCATATTTCCCCACGGACCCTCAGAAATTGTCAAATCATGATTCCGGGTCAGTTTCCCCAAAATTTTGACCGAAGTCAAACTTGGCCTTTTTAAAGAAACTTAAAGAAGCAACTAGGCTTATTCTTGCTCAAAACTCTTCTAACTTCCGAACCACTCATCCCCGCAAGTCATAAATTAGCTAAAGCAAGTGCGGAAAGTATTATTTAAGGGAATGGGGTTCGAAAATGCAAAACGACCAGTCGGGTCGTTACATTCTCCACCTCTTAAACAAACTTTCGTCCTCGAACGGACATAGAAAAGTACCTGGACTGCTGAACAAGTGGGGATATCGGCTCCGCATGTCCTCCTCGGACTCCTAGGTCGCCTCCTCGACCGGTTGGCCCCTCCACTGGACTCTTACCACAGAAATCCTCTTGGACCTCAACTGGCGATCCTGTCTATCCACAATGGCTAATGGCTCCTCCTCGTAGCCCAAGCTCTCTTCTAACTGAATGGTATTGAAATCCAACACATGTGAATAGTCGGCATGATACTTCCGGAGCATCGATACATGGAAGACTGGATGAACTCCTGATAAACTAGGAGGCAAGGCAAGCTCATAGGCAACCTCTCCAACTCGCCTCAACACCTCGAAGGGGCCAATAAACCTTGGGCTCAACTTGCCCTTCTTTCCGAACCTCATAATGCCCTTTATGGGCGAAACCTTCAAGAGAACCTTCTCGCCAATCATAAATGATACATCGCGCGCCTTCTGATCCGCGTAACTCTTCTGCCTTGACTGAGCTGTGCGGAGCCTCTCCTAAATCAACTTTACCTTATCCAAGGCATCCTGAAACCAAATCTGTACCAAGCAACTTAGCCTCACCAGGCTCAAACCACCCGATCGGAGAACGACAACGCCGACCATATAATGCCTCATACGGGGACATCTCTATGCTGGACTGATAGCTGTTATTATATGCGAACTCCGCCAAGGGTAAGAACTGATCCCACTGCCCTCCAAAGTCAATCACGCATGCTCTAAGCATATCCTCTAAAATCTGAACTGTCCGCTCCGACTGCCCATCGGTCTGAGGATGGAATGCCGTGCTAAGCTCCACGTGGGTCCCCAACTCACTCTGAACAGCTCTCCAGAAATGGGAAGTGAACTGAGGGCCTCTGTCTGATATGATGGAGACCAGCACACCGTGCAATCTCACTATCTCCCGAATGTAAATCTGAGCATACCTCTCTGCCGTATAAGTAGTCGCCACTGGAATGAAGTGGGCGGACTTGGTCAATCTATCCACAATAACCCACACTGAATCAACCTTCCGTTGAGTCCGCGGCAACCCAACCACAATCCATAGTGATGCGCTCCCACTTCCATTCCGGAATGGGCATCCGCTGAAGTAGGCCACCTGGCCTCTGGTGCTCATGTTTAACCTGCTGGCAATTCAAACATTTAGCTGCATACTCCGCAATGTCCTTCTTCATCCTCCGCCACCAGTAATGCTGCCTCAAGTCACGATACATCTTCGTGGCACCTGGATGAATGGAGTACCTCGAACTATGGGCCTCCTCTAGAATCCTCTCTCTCAAGCCATCAACATTAGGAACACATACACGGCCCTGAAGCCGTAACACACCATCCTCGCCAATAGAAATCTCCTTGGCACCTCCCTGAAGTACCGTCTCTCTGAGAACTGCCAAATGTGGATCATCGAGCTGTCGGGCCTTAATCTGCCCCAATAACGAAGACTGAGCAACCACACATGCTAGAACCCGGCTGGGCTCTGAAATATCCAATCTCACAAGTCTGTTAGCTAAAGACTGAACGTCCAAAGCTAATGGTCTCATCTCAGCAGGAATGAATGCCAAGCTACCCATACTCTCCGCCTTCCTACTCAAGGCATCCGCAACCACATTTGCCTTGCCTGGATGATAAAGAATGGTAATGTCATAATCCTTTAGTAACTCAAGCCACCTGCGCTGCCTCAAATTAAGATCCCTCTGCTTGAACAAATGCTGCAAGCTGCGATGGTCTGTATAAACCTCACATGACACTCCATATAAATAATGCCTCCATATCTTAAGAGCATGAACAATCGCCGCCAACTCTAGATCGTGCACAGGGTAATTTTTCACATGAACCTTCAACTGACGTGAAGCATATGCAATAACTCGCCCCTCCTGCATCAATACACATCCCAAGCCAACACGAGAAGCGTCACAATACACTGTATACATCCCTGAACCGGAAGGCAATACAAGAACTGGTGCCGTAGTCAAGGCCGTCTTGAGCTTCTGGAAGCTCTCCTCACAATNAATACAAGAACTGGTGCCGTGGTCAAGGCTGCTTTGAGCTTCTGGAATCTCTCCTCACAATCGTCGGACCAACAGAATGGAGCACCCTTTTGGGTCAATCTGGTCAGAGGTGATGCAATAGATGAGAAGCCCTGAACAAATCGCCGGTAATAACCTGCTAACCCCAAGAAACTCCTGATGTCGGTCACTGAAGTAGGACGTGGCCAACTCTGAACTGCCTCAATCTTCTTGGGGTCCACTTCAATACCCTCTCCTGACACTACATGCCCCAAGAATGCTACTGACTCTAGCCGAAACTCGCACTTGGAGAACTTAGCATAAAGCTTCTGCTCTCGCAAGGTCTAAAGCACTACTCTCAAATGCTGCTCGTGCTCCCCCAGGCTATGCGAGTATATCAAGATGTCGTCAATGAAGACGATAACAAAGGAATCAATATAGGGCCTGAACACCCTGTTCATCAAGTCCATAAATGCCGCTGGAGCATTAGTCAAGCCAAATGACATCACCAGGAACTCATAGTGGCCATATCTAGTCCTGAATGCGGTCTTCGGGACATCTGAATCCCGAATCTTCAGCTAATGATACCCTGACCTCAGGTCAATTTTAGAGAACACCCTAGCACCCTGCAGCTGGTCAAACAAATCATCAATACGGGGCAATGGATACTTGTTCTTGATGGTGACTTTGTTCAACTGGCGGTAATCAATGCACATCCGCATAGTCCCATCCTTCTTCTTTACAAATAGCACTGGTGCACCCCAAGGCGATACACTGGGCCTAACAAACCCCTTTGCTAGCAACTCCTCCAACTGCTCCTTCAGCTCCTTCAGCTCCCTAGGAGCCATACGGTACGGCGGGATAGATATAGGCTGAGTGCCTGGAGCCAAATCAATACAGAAATCAATATCACGATCCGGGGGCATGCCAGGAAGATCAGAAGGAAAAACATCAGCGAACTCTCGGACTACTGGCACTGAATCAATCGTCGGAGACTCTGCGGTTGTGTCTCGAACATAAGCTAAGTAGGCCAAACACCCCTTCTCAACCATGCTTTGAGCCTTCAGGAAGGAAATGACCCTGCTAGGCGTATCCACAGTGGAACCCCTCCACTCCAATCTCGGCAACCCTGGCATCGCTAGAGAAACAGTCTTGGCATGGCAATCTAGAACGACGTGATATGGAGATAACCAATCCATGCCCAGAATAACCTCAAAATCGATCATATCGAGCAACAGGAGATCTGCTCTAGTCTCAAGACCACAGAAAGTAACCACACAAGATCGGTAGACCCGGTTCACAACCACAGAATCGCCCACAGGAGTGGACACATGAACAGGAACACCCAAAGGCTCAGGAGAAATAGCCAGGAAACGAGCAAACAGAGATGATACATATGAATAAGTAGACCCTGGATTAAATAATACCGATGCATCTCTACCGCTGACGAAAATAATACCTGTGATGACGGCATCTGAGGCCGATGCATCTGGCCTGGCTGGGAGAGCATAGAATCTAGCTGGAGCACCGGCTGTCTGGCCTCCAACTGACTGAGTAGTAGCTGGCTGACCTCTCCCTGTCTGGCCTCTACCCCTGGAACGACCTCTACCAGTCTGCTCTCCACCTCTAGGCGGCTGGACCGCTGGTGCTGGAGTCATGGGCTGCTGCCCCTGCTGTACTGCCTTGCCCCTAAGCCTGGGGCAGTATCTCCTCATGTGGCCTGCGTCCCCGCACGGGCGGGCCTGCTGTCCGGATGGCTGACCCTGAATACCAGAAGGCCCACTAGAAGAAGCCTGAGTAGCCGGCGGGCGGTAAGAACTCTCCGGCATAGCACTAAAATAAGGACCGGAAGAATCCGGAGGACCTGAATACCCACTGGATGAACCCTGAATAGCTGGCGAGCGATAATAACTCTCTGGCATGGCGCTGAAATAGGAGCGCGCTGGAGCACCTCGAGCCGGTGGTGGTGCTGGAGCTGGGGGCCTGCTGGGCTGACCCCTCCCAAAGTGACCTCTGCCCCTGGCTGGGGCACCTCTGAACTCACCTGAGAATCTGGCCCTCTTGTCCTGCTGCATCTGCTCTCTACCCCTCAAATGGTAGCCCTCAATTCGGCGGGCAATCTCAAGTACTAGCTGATATCCAGTGCCCATCTCTACCTCACAAGCCATACCCGACCGGATAGTGGGATGTAACCCCGCAACAAACCTCCGTACTCTCTCTGCCTCTGTGGGAAGTATCATGAGTGCATGGCGAGACAACTCAGAGAACCTCGCCTCATAGTCGGTCACTGACATATGACCCTGCTCCAGATACTCAAACTGATCACGTAGCTCTTCCCTCTCAGAGGGTGGAATGTACCGATCGAGGAACAACTGAGTGCACTGACCCCAAGTGAGGGGAGGAGCACCTGCCGGCCTGCTAAGCAAGTAAGACTGCCACCATCTACGGGCCCTGCCCTCCAGCTGAAAAGTAGTGAAGTCGACTCCATGTGACTCCAAGATCCTCATGTTGTGTAGTCTATCCCTGCACCTGTCAATGAAATCCTGGGCATCCTCATGACGCTCGCCCCCGAAGACTGGAGGGTGCAACCTGGTCCATCTGTCTAATAACTTCTGCAGATCGCCGTCCACAGCTGGCCTAGGCTGGGGTGTCGCTGCAGCAATTGGCTGGACCCCCTCTGCGGGTAGTGCACCCGGAGTATGATAAACTGTGGCTGCATGATCTGGAGCCTGTGCGGTAGGGGTCTGTGCTCCCCCTCCTGCCTGTGAGGTAGCTGGATCTGTTGGAAATAAACCAGCCTGAGTCATAGTGTCTATGAACCGAAGCATACGGCCCATGACCTCCTGAAATCCCGGCGCAGTCATAAAATCCACCAGAGTAGGCACAGCTGCGGGCGCCTCGCCCTGCTCCTCAATAATGGGATCCCTCGCAGGGTCTGCTGGTGGTGCATTTGGAGTAGCTCTAGGACGCCCTCGTCCCCTACCACGGGCCGGTGCCCTCCCCCGGCCTCTACCTCGGCCTCTAGCAACAGGGGGAGCAGCTCCTCCCGGGTCCGGAATGTCGGCGGTACGAGTCCTCACCATCTGTGAGAGAATAGAAGAGGAAACTTAGTACACTGACCACTGCACGATGGAGAATGAATAAAGAGTAGTCTTTCCTAACAACCTATAGCCCCTCGAAGATAAATAAGGACGTCTCCGTACCGATCTACAAGACTCAATTAGGTTTGCCCCTAACTTGTAAGACCTACGTGAACCTGGCTCTGATACCATGTTGTCACGACCCATTTTTTTCGTAATAGGTCATGATGGCGCCTAACACCGTGGTCAGGCCAGCCGATGCGGAAGTGTGATTAAGTTCTCATTTTACTTTAGCCAAAGATAGTTATACTAGATTTTCGAATTTAAAGATAAGACCAGTAAAGATCATAAAGTGCTAAAATAGCGATACAACCCCAAAATAAATGTCTACTACTGTGTGTGCCAGAACCTGGTGTCACAAGCTACGGGCGACTAGTAGAATATACACAAAAGAATAATACACTATCCTGCTGTCTGAATCAGAATAGACAGAAACAAAAAGTACAAGAAAGGATTTCTTCGGCTGCGGATCGGCATGAAGGAGAAGCAGCTCACCGTAGAAGTCCCCAAGCGTGCTCACTGATGCGCACCAGGATGATGTCCAGATCCACCTACCTCAAATCCTGTACAATTAAGTATAGAAGCGTAGTATGAGTACATAAACCACATGTACTCAGTAAGTATCCCGTCTAATCTCGAAGAAGTAGAGACGAGAGGTCGACTTGATACTTACTAAGGTCAAGATAATATAATAATAAAGTGAGATATACAGCATGAAGAATTTCCAATAACACAAGTTTAAGAGAAGAGTCATATTCATGTTCTTAACATAATTAAACTACCAGTTTTCCCTTTTTCATATTAAACAAGTGATCATGTCATATCTAAATGTAAGCATATAAATCATGCACAATCATGCCGAGGTCGACGGCCCGCTCCAAGAGAAAATAAATTGTGCACTGCCGAGGGTCGAGCGGCACGAACCATAGATGCATCTATTCTCACCGAGACGATCGGCCCGGTCCATAATCATCAAGAAAATATCAGGAAAGCACATAAGGCTCAATTACATACAAGGGAATTCCTACCAAGACTCAACAAACTCATAAGTTCACTTTTCATTTCCTCAAGTCTCTAGCAAATCATAAATGATCATATTGGCAATTTAAAACAAGAAATATTCCCCAATTAGACATGACGTGGGTCCTAAACTACCCGAACAATTATCATTATAGTAGCTACGCACGGACTCTCGTCACCTAGTACATACGTAGCCCCCGCATTTAACAACAATTACTCATTTATAATCCTATGGGGACAATTCCCTCTTACAAGGTTAGAAAGGAGACTCACCTCGCTCCAAAGTGCATTTCCAATGTCCAAGAATGAGCCCAAGTCCTTAATTCGAAGCCGAACAATCCCAAACTAATCAAACGAAGTAAGAACTAGTAAATAAAGGCTTACAAGGTCGAACTCTAACTATTTAGGCAATTTTCTAACCATTAACACAAGTTTCCTAAATTCCGACCTCGGGCCTACGTGCCCGGATTCCGAGATTTTTCGAAGGAAGTTGTTCTCTATCACCTAAGGATCACAAATATATGATTTCTAGTTCATTACAT